AATCTTTTAGGCAGTCGGCGATTTGGGAGTTCCTCTTTCATTGCCATGCTCGGTTGGCGAGGCACCTTACCTCTGCATGATACTGTACGTGTCCAATGATTGACAGAAGTGAATGCCCCTGTATCTTTTAGGAAGTCGGTGATTTGGGAGTTCCTACATAGATTAATCTTTTATTGCCATGCTTGGTTGGCGAGGCACCGTAGGTGACGAACGATGTGAAGAAACAGGTGTGTAATCTGTCTGAATGTTTGTTAACCATGACCGGGAACTGGGCGCGGTGGTTATGTAGATAAAGCCGAGACCGACTTCCCAGCCCTTGCCAGAGGTGCCTTCTTTTTGCAACGTTTCTCGAGGGTACGTGGCCTTTCAAGTGGCTTGCGTTTCATTTTTCGTCGGAGCGCCGGAAAGAAGAGCACTCATCTGAAATACATTCTCAAGCATTCTCTCTGTCATTCCCCTTGAATTAATATAATTGCAAAACAGCGTAAGAAGGGTAGCGGGACAGAACTTACCATGCCCAAGTAGCCGAAAAGCACGCTATAAACCGAGCTTTGACCAACTACGGAGTGCATCGTAACTATTCACATCAAGTCTTCACGGTCAAAGGCGTTCCCTTTTACGGTTCAATATAATCCGTGCTCGAAAGACCGCCAGCGGAATGTGTGATTACGCTGAAGGCACGTTAAATCGAGCGTAGTTCCTTGATGCGCATTGACACCCTCTGACGTAGCTGTGGAAGCAGGTGTTGGAATTGAAGCGCCTTCAGGTTATGTAAAATGCGGAGGCACGGACTGCTGACTTCATTTTTGAAACGGGACCGCCATAGACTGTAAGGATAAACACACACCGTCAGGGGAGTTAAAGGTGGCGAAGAGACGGAGCTGGGTCTCTCATGAGAGAGGCATCCCAGTCATGTCGCCTTTGTAGTCATCTTTCCTAATGCAGCTTTCCACTGAGCAAAGGCTACATCTTGACCATTATCGAATGTGGGTGATCTGACGTGAGATGAGAAATCAAAGAGCTGCGCGACAGGAACAGCACTCTTCATCAGAAATGAGTTTATTACCCTGCCAATCAAGCTTCAAGTCCGACTTGGGATGAACAGCAATGCTCATACATACGTCCCATTCATTCAGAACAATTTAATTAGCAAGTGTAGTTCCCAGACCCAAGAAAGACGAAGCGTGGAGTGTCGGAAGGTTGGGCGAGCCTGTTCAATTGGCGGAAAGTCCCAGTTGCGCATGCTGAATGTCGCAGCTACCAGAGGAGAATGGTGCAGCAAGGTTTGCCATGACGAGCATGGCAGTGATGCGGAATGAAGATGACATCAAATCACAAAAACAAGGAAAGTAATCTTGAAAATAAGAGTGTCGTGGTGGATGTTCTCAAACGCATTATGGTTTGATTCAACGCGGATAGCGTAACCCGAACCACGCTCCTTCATATTGAGTAAGCTGGTGTTTACGTCGGAGAGGTTTGTGAAAGTGCGGCTCGGCTGATGTGTATCTCTCGCGTCGTGACCTTTGCACTCTAGAAATAGATAGGGTCAGTCGGAGACAAGGAGAAGGGGATTAACAGGTTACAGCATACACATTCCGCCTGCCAGACGCGATCAATCCCGGTTGAGATCTGTGAGCGAGTCCGAGAAAAGACAGGCACACTACGCCTCCCGCTTCCCTGGCATAACTGTCATCGTGACTACGATGGCGGCGTACGCCGCGACCACCTTTGGAATTGACGAGATCGGACCAGCGCTTGAAGTGGATGGGAAGAAGGAAAGATCTGTATAGATGTGCTTCAATGAGTATTGGGGGAGTCGTTGAGTGATTTCGCGATCGTTGGAATTCTTCTGTTCAGAAGCTCTATCAGCATACAGCAGGATTGAAAATAGAATAGGTACCTTGCTTTTAATGTGCACGTCCTCACCCCAAAACTGTCGTGCGCTGCTTGCAGTCACTACATACCACCACATTGTAACATCGCCGAGAATTGATCTGGGTGCCTGAGTTTGATTGGTAAAGGGGATACTCAACGCGTAAGTAACTTACTGAACAAGTTCTCACAACCCTTGCGGTTACTGACATCCTTGGGAACGGATTGCATGGTTGGAACATATCTCTAAAGGCTGAAAGAGGTTGTTAATTGTTTACAGCTCAGCAATCAACGAAACCTCAGTGACAACGGGGGACAGACTATTCCAACGGTCCAAGGATAAGAGCAAACCCACCTCATCATGATATCGGTGTAGAAAATCGAGGGTTTGAAAAGGAAAGCTTAACGATTGACTCGTCTTCAGCGCCGAGAGACGTTGGGAGAGCAAACTGAGAGAGATGCAGAAGAATGCGAGCTGATTTGGTCAAGTCATCATTGATTAGACCAGTGAGCGTCTGACATGAAGAAAGTCCTCATGTGCGATACACATTCAAGGATTATGATACACACGAACTTGTGTAAGTACACATGATTCTGTTCTGGTCCCGTGACTTTTCAACCTTGAAACCTCATTTTCTCTCTCGACGACCATTGCACTGCCGCAAACGACCGCGACGTTGACGCGTGTAAAAGCCCGTTCTCCAGCTCACTATTTCCCGGGACTTCAAGCATGCCACCATTACCCACCAAGAAACCCTCGTCGCAATCTCTTATATCCTCAACGCTCGCAGCCATAGCCAACCACTTTAAACCCCACAAAGCAGAGGCTCTCCAACGTATACGGCTGAACGCCGTCTGTCTCGTAGCTGCTCTTATACTGTCTTACTTGCTTCCGGTACCGTCTCTGCCGACGGCCATTCGACGTGTGTTACGCTCGAGCCACACGTTTGAGAGGTGGTCTTCGGAGTGGGTGTATCAGTGGGCGTGTTTGCTAGGTGAGTGCTGTTGTGTGTTTCTCGAGTTTTGCTGATTGGTCGTCTGTGTGTGGAAGTGACGGCGGTTACAATTTTTACGTTCAATATCGCGGAGGCGGGGTATGCGCTGAAGTACCCTCCCCTGCCAATGCCACCCGTCAACTCTCCAGCGCGGCCGAAGTCGAATGCAAAGTCTCCAACGACGACGCCCCAACGCCCTTTCAAAGTCCTCTCCCCGAACGTACGTTTGTTTACTGTCCACATTTTTTCCACCCTCGCAGCGGCTGACTCTTTGCTTCATGCGCAGTCAAGTCCACAATGTCAGAAACCCTTCTCCTTTGCCCCATCATCCCCCTTCGCCTCCGCCTCTTTCTCAATGTCATCAGTGACGTACCCCGTGTCTCCCGTCTCCACACCTTCGCGGGTGGTGCATTACTCGATACCTCCCGGGTCAAGCTCGACGAATACACAGGCATCATCAACGTCGACCGTTGGGTACTTTGCTACGCCTAGCCCGGTGGTGTCGGCGTATCGCGGTAAACATGCCGCTGGGAACGTTGGTCGTGAGTTCATAATGGCGTGTGTTTTACTTCGTTAATCTGACACTTGGATAGGTGCTTTGGATGGCTCGTACCTCGGCTTCATTGCCTCTACGGACTCAGATGAAGAAGAAACATACGATTCAGTTTATGGTCAACGTCTGTGAATGCTTTGGAGGCCTATAATCATTGCTCGACAGCCTCGACAGACTTTCAACAAAGCTTTGTTGTGAAGCTCAGCGGTGCAGGCCCTCCATTTGAACTTGCGGGCTGCGGGCCATTGCTTCGCATGGCAATACGAGTCCTGATTTTTTTAACCACCACCATTTTTGCCACCAAACCTCTGATTACGAACCATGTCAGGCAACCGCCGAGTCGCAACCAAAAGGCCGAATGGTTGGTCCCAACCAAACATTAACAAATTTTACACTTTTCAGTTTACAGTGTCTTGCATAATGCTTTGCAGCACGAATTTTTTCAAATTGTATTTGATTATATTTGTAGTGGTCACAAACCAAGGCCCAATGAAATAATCCGAGTGTGACATATTAGGTCCAGTTTAACACAGCCAAATACCATTTTAAAAAATTCATGCTGCAAAGCATTATGCAAGGCACTGTAAAATTTGTAGGTGCTTGTCTGAATCACATGATTCACCGTTCTTCAGCTTCCCACCTTTGCCGTCGATTTCAACTCATCCACCATGTTCTCAGGGTGCACTGCCAACACTTGTGTTGTTTGAATCTCATAATCAAGAGTGACTGACTTTGTAATGATACTAATCCATTCGCAATGGAGATGTGGAGGGCGAAGGGCTAGGTATGGATTTGGAGTCAGAGAGGCGTCAAATTTGACAACAAAAGGTGTGATCCTCTGCCTTTTACCAAGATGTCTTGCAAGAGGCTTAATTACCTTTTCTTTTTGAATACTCAACCTAGCGGAGTCTGCTGCAAATTCTTTGTAGCAGTGAAATCCAAGCCATGGTCTCAGCTGGCCACTCCATCTTGATTATTCGACCCACAACAGCCGCTCGTCTGGCATGAAGCGGCTGTGGCAGACTTTGGGGCATCAACAGGATAAACTGGCTTCCTCGTGAGTTTGATCACGCCTCGGGATTCAGCTGGGCGGCCTGGCCAGCCACTTCCTACAGGTACTTTTGGCCCGGAATCCCTGAAATTCCTCTGCGGCTGCTCCTGTGTCAGTTACATTGAAGAATCTGGCTACGTCACTCTGGCAGGCCAGTCTTGAGTTCATGGTTACAACGTTACTTTTTGAATCGTGAACAACGTTGCATAAGACATCACTATTTTAAGGAGTGTCTTATTTCCAAGGACACTGTCTTTGCCACGGTCTGGCACATGTCATGCACCACGTAAGTCATTTCCTCGACTTATCTCTCTGTTGGTACTGAACTTGGTAACAGGTTTGTCCTTGTGGTCGAGGTTGTACCCCCTGCTGTTGGGAGTGTGCAGTAGGCAAACCTGGAGGAATGGTAAACATTATTCAGTATCGTTGCGGATGTCGTGAACACCGCTGCGACCATCGGCGACATTCAGCTCATCGACAGAGTTGGTTGTCGCCGGCTTTTTGGTGCTGTTGGCATGTGTATCTGTGAATTCATTGTTGCGATTGTATGTGTTTCAAATTGGTCTTCCATAATGGGATTAGCTAATCCCGTCATCCTCTGTTCTTATAGGTTGGCGTCACTGCTGGAAAGATTCAAGCAGATGGATGCGTCAACTTTGCCGCTCAGCAAGTGCTGATCACCCTTGTTTGCGTGTATGTTTGTCGCCCATCTCCCGCCGCTTGAAGTAGCTCTGACAGGCAAGTGGGTATATCACCTTCTTCGCAATATTGTGGGGCCCAGTTGGATTGGTTGCTACCGGCGAAATACTTGTATGTTTCTTGGTTGCCCAATGACCCATTAAATTAACTTCATCTTTAGCCCCTCTCTGTCCATGTGAAGAGCTTGAGTCTTGCCGTAGCCAGCAACTGGCTGTGGAATTTTGTTATCGGATACGCTACTGAACAAATCATTGTACCCTATCAATGGCATCAAGACTGCTGACCTTTGTGTTGAAATCTTCTTCATCTGGGGAACAACTTGTGTGGGGTGTTTCTTCTTGAAGGCTGTTAGGTGAAATTATCTTTTCAAGCAATTCTTAATGTTAATAGGTATTTCTTCGGTCATGTGGCTTGACACTCGATCGACTTGATTCGCTTTACCGAGAATCATCTAGTGTGTACTTGTTGTTTTTTGATGTTTCTGACTTTATTGACTCATTGTGCTTGTATCCTTTCTTTTTACAGTCGTCAAGTTTGTTTCATACAACCGGAAGATCCAAGCTGAGAACATACATGGAGCGGAAGACCTCGTACATACCTTCTTGCTCAAGTATCCCTCCTCACAATAATGAATAGGCCGAGGTATGAAGGAACAACCAAAGTCCATTCGAAGGGGAAGGCTACCGCCATGTGGATCCCAGGCAAGATAATCTTTGTTTTTATCGTCACGAAACACATAGCCCAGTGTCTCAAAAACCAAAGAGGTGCAGTACCTACCACCTACTCTGTCATGGGTCCCTCAGTTACATAGTGATAATATATTCATTCACTTCAATTCATAACTTGACTGTCCGATTGAGTTGCATTAGCAAAGACTTCAATATGAAGGACACAGAAAGTGGGTTGACATCTATTTGTTACTGTTTGTCTATAGCTCTCAAGAATAGTGTGACAAAAAAACAGGTCTGTATAAGAACGATTCCTTATGTAAACCCCAGGACTTGTAACATTTTCAGCATACATTTTTATCTATGTAAGACTGCTGATATCTATTCATGACTGAGAGCTGTTCCGAGTTACTGCATCAGAGGCATTGTTTTTGCCAAGCCTCTATTTTCTGGGTTTATTTTTTTTGACAACCCAGTAAACTCTTGCAGTTCTGTGGTTGATGTTCTTATTGTAGAGTACAACACCTCTGTTGTGTCATTGCCTTTTGTTTGAATTCACAGGGCATTCAGTAGATACGCTATGGAACCATAACAATAGAAATTGACAATTGTCCCAATAAGTCATAGGGCTACCCCAATGGGCCCAATTACAAAAGACATTATGATACTATACATTGGCCCAACAACATGACAATATGTATATTTGATTGTTGGGCCCAACGACGGTGCCACAGTCCAAGCTAAGGGTTTATAGATTGGCCACATGGCTTAAATGGGGGTAATTTTGGCCGTTGATATATGACGGTATTAAGGTACCATTGATAGTTGGGCCCAATGAAGGGAAATCGTTAAGGGAGATGGTTGGGCCCAATGGCCCAATTATTAAGCTACGGTTGATGGTTGGGCCTAATGTAAGGTATTTGTTAAGGGAACAGGTTGGGCCCAATGGTAAAATTTCAATGCTATGGCTTGTAAGTTGGGCCCATGCCATGATATAGGCTATAGTTCATAGGTTAGCCCAATGATTATTTGAATTTTGCGGGTGTGGGCTTTGGTCCGGTAAACCCGCAGGTCTGCTCCTGTTCCATTGGACCCACGGCCGCACAATTGTGCAATTTCACCCGCGGGTTGGCTATTGTGCAGTTACCCCCATGGGGTAGCTCATGTTCCGTTACCCCTGCAGGTTGCCATGCGGGCCAGATCATGTTCTGTTACCCCCGCGGATCAACAATTGATCCATTACACCCTCGGGCTGGCTATTGTTCATTACCCCCACAGGGCAGCTCTTGTTCCGTTAGCCCCGTGGGTCGCCACACAGGCCAGATTATGTTCCGTTACCCCACGGGTCGACAATAGGTCCATTACACCCACAGTATCTTATTCCGTTACACCCATGATGTCCAGCTCTTGTTCCCTTAGACCTGCGGAACCTTCTTCCGTTTGGCCCGCGGGTTTCCAATTACAGCCATGGACCATTTGTGGCTCCCCCGTGGGTCTCTGATTACACCCATGGATTACCTGCTGCTCGTTACACCTGTGGCCACCCATGGACCACCTGCTGCTCCTTGACCAATTGGCCCTCTTCCATCAGCCCCCCACCCATGGGCCACGTTTGCAGCTGGCCTGCAAAATGGACCAACAATTGTGCCTTTACATTCACAGACCGTTATTCCGTTACACCCGTGGACCAGCAATAGTGCCATTACATCCACGGATGAGCTCTTGTTCCATTACACCCATGGGCTGTGCTCTCATCCGCGGACCTGCTCTTGTTCTGTTACCCCCGCGGACCAACAATGCTTTTATCCGTGGACCGACGGATTACCTACCGCTCCGTTACATCTGCGGACACCCACGGACCACCTGCTGGTCCTTAAACAATAGGCCCTCTTCCATCAGCCCCCCACCCGTGGGCCACGTTTGCAGCTGGCCTGCAAAATGGACCAACAATTGTGCCTTTACATTCACAGACCATTATTCCGTTACACCCGTGGACCAGCAATTGTGCTGTTTCATCCACGGACGAGCACTTGTTCCATTACACCCATGGGCTGTGCTCTCATCTGCGGACCTGCTCTTGTTCTGTTACCCCCGCGGACCAGCAATTCTTTTATCTGCGGACCGACGGATTACCTACCACTCCGTTTCTGCGGACACCCATTGTTGCTGTTGGACCCATGGGCCAACAGGTCTTCTGTGGCACCCATGGGCCACACCATTTGTTAAGCCCATTGGTCCATTACATCCGCAGGCCACCAGCTAGAGCTCCACGGACGTGAACATCTGGATTTGTATTTAACATGCTGAATGTCATTGACCCGAAAATGTGGCTGAAAGAATGTCCGGATTTGTGATTAACTTGGTGAACATCACTGATCCGAAAATGCGGCCGAAAAAACATCCGGATTTGTATTAGTGCAACAATGTCCGAAGTTTCAGATGTAATTTTGACATGGACCAGACAATCCCCCTTGGAATGCTCTGAAGTCCGAAATTTTTTATATTACTTCCATCCGGATATAATAATCCCCATAGACTGCACCAATGTCCGAAATTTTGGATGTAATTTTGACAGGGGCCAGACAACCCCCATGGAATGCTCCAATGTCTGAAATTTATACTTCAAGTACCTGAAAATGCGGTCACAAAAACATCTGGATTTGTATTTAACATGCTGAATGTCATTACCCCTAAAATGTGGCTGAAAAAATGTCCGGAGTTGTAGTTGACTTGGTCAATGTCACTGCTCCGAAAATGCGGCCGAAAAAACATCCGGATTTGTATTTAACATGCTGAATGTCATTGCCCCGAAAATACGGCCGAAAAAATGTCCGGATTTGTGATTAACTTGGTGAACATCACTGATCTGAAAATGCGGCCGAAAAAACATCCGGATTTGTATTAGTGCAACAATGTCCGAAGTTTCGGATGTAATTTTTACACAGACCAGACAACCCCCCGCGGAATGCTCTGAAGTCCGAAATTTTTTAAGTTACTTCCATCCAGATATAATGATCCCCATAGACTGCACCAATGTCCGAAATTTCGGATGTAATTTTGACAAGGCCAGACAACCCCCATAGAATGCTCCAATGTCCGAAATTTATACTTCAAGTACCCGAAAATGCGGCCAAAAAAACATCCGGATCTGTATTTAACTGAATGTCATTGCCCCGAAAATACGGCCGAAAAAATGTCCGGAGTTGTAGTTGACTTGGTCAATGTCACTGCTCCGAAAATGCGGCCGAAAAAACATCCGGATTTGTATTTAACATGCTGAATGTCATTGCCCTGAAAATGCGGCCGGAAAAATGTCCGGATTTGTGATTAACTTGGTGAACATCACTGATCTGAAAATGCGGCCGAAAAAACATCCGGATTTGTATTAGTGCAACAATGGCCAAAATTTCGGATGTAATTTTGACATGGACCAGACAACCCCCCACGGAATACGTTGATGTCCGAAATTCTAGACTACAAAACTTTGTAGTGTCTGCTTTTTAGACTACACAATTTTGTAATGACCAGTTGAACTCAGGCAGAACTCTCTCAATTCTTAACCAATTTGGATGTTCTTGGGCTCGTTTTGACAGGTAAACCCGTGGGGTTGTGGGTACGGGTACTCTACAGGTCATGTATGGGCCACTTGTCCGATATTTATAGGTTTTTTAGTGTCCTTGATCATGAATGAGTATATGGGTTCATGGGTCTACAGTTGAAGGAGTGAGAAGGGTGGACATTTGCCATTTCTGTATCATTGGTTTATTATGAATAAGTACATAGATTCAGGGTGCTATAGTTGAAGGAGTGATAACGGTGGGCATTTTGCTATTGCTTTCACTGTCTGTGTCACCTCTTCAACCATACATCCCCATGAACATATGTACTTATTCATTGATGTCTGGTCTCCCAAACTTGAAAGTTTGTAGCCCTCTTTTCTGACATATAATTTGTAGTGTCCTTCACTATGAATAAGTACATAGGTTCATGGGACTATCATTGAAGGAGTGAAAAGGATG